TATACGGGTATCACCAAGACCAACGAGGATTTACAAGCGCCACTGAGAGTAAGAAGATTAACAACAAAGCCCACAGAATCGTGATAAAATAAATTTTTCTCTTTTATGCCATATTTTCCTACTGTTTTTAAATTCGCAATTATTAAATCTACCATTAATCAAGGTGCAATAAATCCTAGTTTAACCACTAGTCTACACATTTTTATCTCGAATTTCTACATTTCTAGTCTTCGGAATTCAAATGCGAAAGATTCGCCCTATCCAGGCATCCTGAAAAATTTTCCCAGAACTTTAGAATAAAATAAATCTCAGTGTCGTGTTGTTGTTGCTCGTGGAAGGACCAAAAAATCAAACATTTTGAAACAATGAATGCATACCCAAAAATTTCGCAGGAAGCAAAATCCTATGGTAAAAGCAGTCGAAAAATGAAACAAACATATTCGATGCGTTCATTGTCATAAATCCTTGCAGAAGTTTGCATTCTTGTATTCGGTTCTATGAATCCTAGTAATCAGCACATCTCCCAGCGTTACATTATTTTTTGACGCCACAAATGCATCATCACTGCGACGAGAAAGAACCAACGAACATGTTACAGGACCCTTAAACAAATGTTTGAATTTTTCGCATAATTCGAAGACTGGGACATTAAATTGCAGATTTCTGGTTTCAAAAAAAGCAGTAAAACATTGTGATGATTTCACAGTTATACTATGAGTACCGAGACCACTTGGATAATCGGTGCGAGCATCTCCACATAACTGACTAAAACATTTCTATTCAGGTACTTTTCTCCAGTGATTCTTAATAAATTTCATGTGTAATTAATGCCATTCTTCCTTTATTCAAATCTACAATTCTTCAATCCTTACTATTTTTACTCCTTTATTTAGGGTTAGAGAGAAAATGTTAGCAAAAAATGATGAAAGGGTTCTAAAGAATTATTTAAGCAGGTAAGAAATGTTTCGGTCCATTATGTCGCATACACTCCCAAACACCCCCAAATATTATTTCTTAGTATTCCATGTTAGTGACTAGTTCATAGCAATCAGGTGATGTTACTGGAATACTCCTACACACCTGGCGCAGCTTATTCTGAATGTGCTAAGTCGTGGCATTCAAGTCTTTCTTCATCGGGATTCTGTATTACAGCAACCTTTTTTAAAGCCAACTGCAAGCATAAATGCCGTGAAAAACAGCTGTTATGACGTGCAATCCTATGTAGCTAAGTTAAAAGACAGTATAAAATGCGACAAGAATGTGACAGAACCAGCAATTCTCGTTCGCAACAGAAAAACGGCACGGGAACAAAGTCCAAAGTTACTAATAAATATGTGGCCACAGTTAAAACTAAAAAAACAATGTTAAAAGTCAAAACCCTTTCCGTATTCGCTCTTTGTGAGAGGCTAAAGCACACGCAACGTACTCGAGTGGTAGCA